TTTTTAGCTCAATTGCATATATATTCTATTTTTTTTTAAATTGGCATTTATATATAGGAACAAGAAAAAAAGTTATACGAAGTATGCTTTATTGCTAAGTCACACAACTCGATAGAACATTCCAACTTTAGGAATAATTTTTTAATTGTGATATGATAATTTTTACGAAATACAAAAATTGAAAAATGTAACGATGGTTTAAAACGTGTATAAAAATAATTAAGAAACAATATTTTTTTATCTCTGCTCTAATAGAGATATATAGAAAGTATATATATTAGGTGTAGTAAAAAGAAATCCATTATTTTTCCATTCAATTTCATGCAAAAATAATGGATTTCTTTTTCTACGCCTAATATTATAAGATAATTGCAAAAATTTCAATTTTTTTTGTATAACTACTTTAAATATTCAAGATATATTATATAAAGTTTCATTGCGATGCAGAACTTGTAATGTTATGTTAGTCTGTAAATAAACAAAATAATTCGGATTGAAACTCTCGGCCCTCTGATTAGTTCGTTACTTCTTAAGATTGTACTTAAGACAGTCCTGAATATAAGATCTGAATACCGGTCTAGATATTTAAGTTCAAAGAGTTTAAATAAGCTGTTATAAGGTGACACAGAATAGAGACAGGATTGATCATATAAATGTCGATTGGTAATCATATAAATGTCCATAAATACAATGAAAAATGTTTCAATTTTTGTGTATAAAAATTTATAATTACAAGCACATATAATTAATCAGCTTAGCTCATCAACTCTCCTTTTAGCTTATTTTATTGTTAACAAAATATATTATTCCTTTATTTACAAAATACCTAATTTTTGCATCGTAATAAAACATATGATTGCATTTTAAATACTTAAAGTACTTACACAAAAAAAGTTTAGATTAATTTTGTCATTTTATGCTTTTCAAATTTTCGTATTGTAATAAGAAAATAATAACAAATAAAATAAGTAAACTATAAAAATGTGTTTAATAAAAACAAAATATTTGAAATTTTTATATATTTATGGTTTATTTAAAATATAAATATTAACACATTTGCAAAAATGAGTGTAATATCTTTGGTAAAAATTTTTGTTATAATTATTATATATATTATTTTTTAGAAATACTCAAAAATATTCGGAAAGTCAGTATCTTTTCTCAGAATTTTTCATACAAGTGAATTCTGAAATATTTAAAAATTTCTTATCCCATAATTTAAAAAAAAATATTTAAAAATTTTTTAGATTTTTTATTTTATAATATTTCACCAGAAATTATACTTAATTATATTTAAAAAATTATACTTAAAAAAATCTTAGTAATCTTATATTTCATAATTAATATATAGAGGAAAGACTTCTATTATGAGATATCGAGTTCATTTTGATTAGACGTCTATAGGCAGAATTTTAAAAAATAATAGGTCATTTTGAAGAGAATTTAATAAGATAACGTTACATAAAATTTAATTCAAATTCCATTTTTTTTTTAATTAAAGAATTGTTAAAAGTGAGTGATGCAAATCGAAAAGTCAAAAAATTGTGCTCCTATCCTAACATAAGATGCCCCAAAAAATCGATAGTAAAACACAAAGTACATCAGTATTGCAATTAAAAAAATTTTTATTTATTGTTTTTAAAATACAAACATAATGTGCGCGAAAAATGAGCATGCAATAGATTACCAACCTAACTCGTTTTCAGGTAGTTGAAATCAAGCATCGCAGATATAGGCACACGTTCATTCCGGTTGTCTTTTATATTATTGTACAATAACATTTATACTTTAGCAACGATTTTCACATTAATGTAGGAATATGAATTATTTCATGTTAGGAATATCCTGGATATCTCATATTTCTACGACTTATAGTTTTATGATCATCAAATCTAATCAAATCATCAAATCTTCTGTAATTAAACAATTCAACATATCCCGTATTTTTCTATTAGTATGATCTTATTCTATCATTACATAAAGAATTTATTGAATATTAAAGAATTTATACAAATATTTATTTATTAAATAATAAAGAAGTTTAAATGCTCATTTCTTAATGAAACTTGAAGATATCTAAATTCTAAAATCTTGTTTTACAGTGACTATAGGTACGATATAATGAATTTTCTACTAAATAGTTTTCAATCCAAGAGCTCAATAAATTCATGGTGAAACCAATAGATAGCGTTTATTAGTTTAGCAGAAACGTCGCTATTTCGTATTATGTATCTATCTCATAATAGAAGGTTTTTCTCTATGAAAAATTCTGAGAAAAGATATAGATTTTCTGAGAAATGTTCCATTCGTATAAAAAATGTGAAAAAGTTATAAAATTATATATAGAAATTCTGAAAAATTATATGGAGATTCTGAAAAAAATTATATCAAAAATTCTGAGAAAAATTTTGACATGGATAACCTTAATGTTAATACTTTTAAATAAATACTTTTAATGAAATAAACGCGCACATAAGATTGCAGAGATGAATATTTTTGATCCACAGTTTATGAATGCAGCACGATTATACGAAAAATATCGATTTATCTGTGCAGCCTTCAAACGGACGTATATATACCCTCAGAAAAGTGGACCATGCTATGTAATTTACATCCACTTTATCAGAGGGCAGTAGTGCGCAGCAGCATTTTGTGATTACAGGTTTTGGGCCGTCCTGTTCATGTCCTGTCTCAAATTTCTCTCTGATATTAATAATTCATAGCGTGAATAGTGTCTCCTCGAATACACTCTTAGAATAATTATCTCACCTTCGATTTTAGATTTATTCGATGAAATTAGATTTATTCGATACGTTTTCACTCAAAACGAAAGAATCTGGCAGAAAAACGCGACAATCGGATTGTAAGTACTTCTTCTGAATTGTAATAACTTTTGCCGTAGAATCGACGGCGAACCGACCAATGCGAAGGGAAAGTGTATAATAAATCTGAAACAGTCAGGCGGCCGCGCCACCTAAAGAAAAGCGAAAGGAGCTCCTCCCATCCTGATATCATTCGAAATATAAAATGCGTTTAGGTCGATCTTATTTCATAGTTCGATCTTATAATATTTCAAGATCGCTTAATATCTTAAGATACTAATATAGCCCTCTAATTGGTTCGTGACTTTTTAAAACTATATTTAAGATGTCTTGAATATAAGATCTGACTATGAATATCGGTCTAGATATTTAGGTTCAAAGAGTTTAAATAGACTGTTATAAGACAACACAGGGTAGAAGGGGATTGGTGATACATTATAAATGTCAGTAAAATATTATATAACAGAAAATTTTAAGATAAGTACTCAACTTGCCGGATTTATGAGATCTGTTTTCTGTGGCTGAAGTGTACACTAGTGTGTACACTTTTGGAAGTGAGATAGATATATGTTTGATATTTGTTGAAAGTGAGAAAGAGAGTGCTGTGCAGGAACAGAAAACAGACCAATGAATATATAGGGGGTGATCTGGGGAGATGCTACATATGCTTCAGGTATGATCAGGGGAAGGAAAGTTAGGGTGCTCCGCACAATAAAAGGAACAGGAAATAGAGAACAGAGAATAAGAATTTCAACCTATCAGAAACTGTGTATTCCACAATACGTGATCTCTGATAAGTTGAAATTCTTATTCTCTTTCTCTGTTCCTTTTATTGTGCAGAGTCCTTTAGATCTTGAAAGTGGAAACATACATGGCCGATGGGCCAACTAGAAACAGGAATAAAATATATGCGCACGCATCCAACTGTCTGAAGCGATAGGTAAAAGTGTGTAATGCATTACTCTCTATACTCTGTGCTTCTTGGTGAGATTGTTCACGTGTTTTGGAAGGATCTTATTAAATAATATTTCTACATATGTACAAGAATGAATGTATGAAGAAAAATCTTTCATCTTGACAGAGTATAAAGCCGGAATCAGACTATGTTTGAAGATTGAGATTAAAGATTAAAGATTGAAATTTCACCAATGAGAATAAAGAAGTTTTGACTCCTTTTCTGATTGGTAAACTTTAATTTTTCAATCTTTAATCTCATTCTTCAATGCACAGTCTGATTCTGACCTAACGTTTTGCCAGTCACATATAACATGTTTTTTCCGTTATTTCAGATACTGTTTGAAAAAGAAAGAATTATGAAGAAGGAAGAGTAAAAAATTCGAAAGTTAGAGTCAATCACATGATTTTAAATCAAGAGAAAATCAAGAAAATATTGTTAGTTAATAAGCTATTGGGCAATTAAGGGACAGATTAAGTTTTTTTTTTTTTATTAAGTATTTCATTTATATTCTTATTTATACTAGAATCGTGATAAAAATACTCATTAAATAAATTCAAAATATACAAGGGGTTAACAGCAACAGCGGGTTATTAGTTGCTAACATTTAATCCTTTTTGAAATTATATAAGATAAAAACAGATGTTTCAACTTTACATTAGATCATTTTCAATGTTAAGTAAGTAAATTTATATGACAAATTAAAATTGTTTTTTAAGAATGTTTACCGAAAAAGACTAATTAAAATTAACGCATACATAAACTCTACAATAACATGGATTTAACAAGCTTACAAATTAGATATAAATTCTCATGAAGTTATATATTTCGAAAAGAAAATATCGATGATAATTGTAGAGTTTTTGTATGCATTCGTTATGTATGTGTCTGTTTTTATTTTATGTAATTTTAAGAAACGTTAAATGTTAGCAACTAATAATCTACTAATAACTTGCTCTTAGCCCCTTGTCTTTTATACTCTGAACTTATTTATATTCTTTCGAATATTATATAAATGAATAAAAATGTGTTTTTCAAGTCATGTTCAATTCTGTTATCCATGAATATTTGTACGAAAAATGTAATAATCTGCATTTAACTGTTGATACTATACTTCGAAGTACAATGAGAAGGGCATTTAAACATATGTTTTCCATTAGAAGTACCTAATGGGAAGGAAAAGATTCCATGTTTATATCGATTAATGTTCAAGTTTGTTCTTCATTATAAAATTTATTGAATTAATTTTTACTGCATATTGTTTTTTATAAGACAAAAATATAATGTATAAACAATTGTAATGTTGCATGTTCTAGGAATATAATATCGACCGAAGAAAAGAAATATCAAGAATGGAATATTATAAAAACAAGGCAATATAGACTGTAAGAGAAGACTGAATAAGACAATATAAATGTAAGAGGCAAAGCAATCTTAGAAGAGATAAAAACTGATGAAGATAAAAACTGATGATATATATTAATAGGTTCCTTTCGACGATTATATTTAACTGATTTCTTGGATAGAGCTTCAATTTACAATAACATTAGTTTGTGTACATTTCAATTTAATTAAATTTTTTCTTTTTATGTTTAAATTCTACAAAAGAATATTAATGTCATTTGAAATAGATATTTTCTATAATGTCTTCACGAAAAAAATGTTCTTGTATTTCCCTAAATTTGGCAACAGCTACTGGTCAAAAGGTGAGGCCCATAAAATTATTAACAAATTTTTTATCGATTCCCCATAAATTCCGACACTTGCATGAAATGGAAGCTTGCTTGTGGTATTGATACTTCAATCAATTATCAAAATTTGCGCATTTGCGAATCATTTTTGTGAAGAAGATTTCGTAAATTTTTCGAAGCACCTTTTAAATCAAAATGTTATACCTAAAATTTTGAATCATTCATTCTTTTATTAATGCTGTATTAGAATCTGTTGTTTGTAACGATTCTTCTAAAATTGCAAATGTTGTCTCATGTGATATCTCCACTTCCGTAAATGTGACAAGATTTATGAAATAACTTCTACTGAATTTCGTAATAGTCACTTCAAAAATTGTTTAATAAATAAATTCAACAAATAAAAATAATAATCGAGCTAAATATTTATAAGGATATAAATCATAATGATGAGAATTTTAATGATTTAGAACTTAATGATGATTTTTCAAGTTCTATAAAAAAACGAAAAAGCAGAATTTTAAAAGAAATAGGAACAACTTTAAAGTCAATGTCACCGCGAAAAAGGGGCATGTATAAAATTCATCGTAAAGTTACTGCACAATTATGTAAAATGAAAAAACAACTTTATGACAAAAAGAATGCTTTGAAGAAATTAAAATCTATGTAACAATGTTTTTGAATGCATTAATAATAAACTGAATTACAACAAATTTTATCAATTCACAATTATGAAATGCAGATCGTACTCCTGTTGAAAGAAAGTGGACAGAAGAAGATAAGATTTTCGCTTTCGATGTACAAACGGAGTCCTCATCTCTACAAATATTTATCCACCTACTTTCAATTGTCATCAATTCGGACATTAAACTGCTGGAAAATGAACAACATAACGCAGTTAATAAAATAAAGAAAGAGTACACTTATCGATATTCTCAAGCGATTCACTTTCTTCGTTTTGAATGCTGTGTGCGGATTTTTTTTAAGAATCCTCGAAAATTGTCAAAATTTTCATACTTCGTCGTTTTCACAATTGGAGATCAAAACGGAAAAATTATTTAAAACAACAGTTTTTAAGGCTGCTACAAATTGATAACTGGGGTTTGTATTTGTAATACTATGTTGATATATTGACGTTTGATAAAATAAGTTTTCTAATGGGTCTTGATTTAAATTTCGTAAATTCAGATACTAGTTTTGTTAAGGATTCTTTTTGATACTGGAATAAATGAACTTCTTCTAAAACAATTAAAAATAAAAAGCGATGAAATGGACGAACTAAATCGATATTGCAGTTTAGTGTTCGATGAAATATCCTTAAGTAAAGATTATCACGAAGCACATAAAGAGTAGACTGATTATGAAGACATAGGTGAGTTGGGTCGAACTTCTAAAACTGTTAATCATGCGCTCTTTTTTATAATTCGTGGCCTGAGAAGATCTTGGAAGCAAGTAATTGCTTATTATTTCACGGCTAATACAATTTTCTATAGCAACTTAAAATTTATAATAATAAATATTATTTCGCAACTTCAGGAGATTGGTCAATCAAAGTAAAAGCAACAGTTTGAGACTAAGGTTCCACTCAAAAAAGAGCCCTATCCGAATTGTGTGCAGAATATAAAGTTGACCCAACTAGTTACACATTTGTAACCATAGTTAACCAGGAAATCATAATAATAATTTATGATGTTCTACATTTATTGAAGTGCACGCGTAATGTTTTGCTCCGATGTAAAATAAAATTTTCTGAAAATAAAAAATAGCTAAATTTTAATCTATTCAAAATGCTTTTGATGTTGAACAAAATTTTTCATTTAAGCAACTTTACAAATTAAATAAAAATGATTTTAACTTCAAAGATTCCTTTATAAAAATGAAAGTAAAAGTTGCAGCGCGTCAATTAAGTCGATCTGTTGCTGCTGCAATTCAATCTTTTAGTATAATATCTAACGTCAATGGATCGTTTTCTGTAGAATCGTTACAAATGGCAGAATTTGCGCAATTAATAGATTCCTTAAATGGTTAGAAAACCAGAACATGGAAAAAAGTATAGATTTTGTTTACAAGAAGACTCACCTCACTTTGAGTTGTGGAGCAAATTACCAGAAATGACTAAATGGAAATGATTACAATTAATATCAGGAGAGGATGTCACAAGTCAATACCATTTCATGAAGATGGATAACAACAATAAGATCAGTGATGTATTTGTAGCATCAATTGAAAGCTCTCGACTAGAAGTATCTGAATTTACGAAATTTAAATCAAGACCCATTAGAAAACTTATTTTATCAAATACGTCAACATAGTATTACAAATACAAACCCCCCCCCCCCCCCCCCCCAA